TGCCTCGGAGTGGGCTCCCCTTTGGCAGCAGCTGCATTTTGCCGGCACCAAGAGTCTGGGCCTGTGGGACACAGGCTGTGGTTTGACTCACTATCATTAGAAGTGATGTGATAGTAAGTCGCCATCACAGCTCTGTGCATGTCCTCAACATCTCCTTTGTGAGATTTGAGCGCCCAGCCGTAATAGGAGCTTAACTTCGTGATGAGGTCCCCGGTGAGCCTTCCCCTTCCTCCAAGGGTTTCAGAGGCACCTCCTTTGTGCCTTGCTACTAAATTGCGTAGGGCAGTGCCCATACGCTTTTGGACGTGATTGACACAGTCCTCTTTTTGGACTTTGATGAAGCCATAGACATCTGCTTCTTGCAAAGCGAGGAAGGTGCGGCTGTCACCATCTGACAGGATTGTAGTGTACTTGAGGCCATTTTTTTTTATGGACCTCTCAAAGAGGTGCACAGCTGCCTCAACTTCCATTTCGCCAGCTTTTTTTGTAGTATTTTTTTGGCACACGTGGCTGTCCTGCCAAGCCTGATATGCCGGGTCGTCTGCCTTCGGTCCGCGCTTGCATCCGGCACAGAAGTTGCTCAGAACGACATAGTCGAGCACTAGACCAGTGAAGAGCTCGATCACTGCCCCCACGCCTATGTGGGACGAGTGCCCGCGCGTCATCCAGGAGCCGTCGTACGAGACTGCAATACTGTCGGCATTGTCAATATGCAGCTCCTTGTAAAGCTTACGAACTGCACTCGCGCACTAGCCCATGACTTTTTCGGCCGCGCGATTAGCTGCAGGAGTCAATTTCCGCTTCACATATCCTTGCCACGTTTTATTGTGAAGTCCGCGATGGGATATGTTCATTGTCGAAAATATATCATTCATAGCTGCTTGACGGTTCCCAGTGGCCTGCATGGCTCGAGCGGCGAGAATGTTGACGGCGAACGAGTTTACTTTCTGTGCTTCATCCACTCGCGGAGAGCTCCATGCTTGCGCGATGTCGCCGCAGTTCACGCAACGCGCACACATTTTCACGGCAAGGCCGTATTGTCTGTCCTGTCTGTAGATGCTGACGCTTCCGTTGCAGATTTTACATTTCATGGCATCTAACAGTTTACCGAAGCAGCCAAGATCGGCGATCAAAAAACTTGCCTCTTCGTTTGGCTCCGCGGGAGCGGCGCCGGCCGGTGCGTCGTTCCTCAAAAACTCAAGTTTTCTCTTCGACGCGGCGGTCGATGCCAGTTCCTGCAGCCTTGCATCGGCCTTTGTGCGCCTTACCTGCAGCTCCGATTGCGTTAGTAAGGTTGTATCACGGCGGACGCGGCCGCTGCTTAGCGAAGCGTCGGTGACCGGCGGGCCCGCTAGGCCTAACTCCCCGTCGACTCTCTCGGGCGCCTCGGCGATTCCTTCGCTGTCGGCGGAGATGGAGGTCGCGAGGTCTCGATGTTCGCAAAGTTCGTCTGCGCGTTCGGGTGATGGATGTGCCGGCGATGCGTCACGTTTGGGAGCATCGCAGGCTGGCGAGGCCGTCAGGCTTGCGTCGGCGGCATCGGCGGGCGACCCATCTCGTTGTTCGTTGACGCTCCTCGCCAAGAGACGCGCCTTGAAGTTGTTCGCCTGAGACTTTTTTCTTTTTTTGCCGAACTTATGCCGTGTATGAAACTTTCGTGCCGATCCAGGCATTGCAACAACTTCGATCGCGAGCACGCTAGTCGAAGCACAGGCACAGGAAATATGTCGGCGCGACAACAGGTGTTCGCGCGTTGTTGACGCGCCAAGCAGACGATGCGAGCGCAATCAGCCAATGAAGTGGCCACCTCGTGGTCACGTGCGCTTAACAACCAATAGCGTCGCGTACTTTGCTTCTTCTTTGGTTGCTTTTTTTTCGGTAACCAATGAGCGGAGCGAGGCTCTATGGGCGGGAATCGGAAGGTGAAGAAACGCTCTTTCAAACAAGACCGAGATCGCGGCAATGGCGTTCGGCAAACGGCAGCTCTGCATCGCGAAAGAGGTGGTGTTTTTTCGTCAGATTCTGCGCAAATCGAGCTCGCGTGTCCTCTTTGTAATGATATAACAAGTAAATTATCGCTTTCTGGAGTCTGAAAATTGGCAGGCAGGTGTAAAAATGCTTGCAGAATTCAAAAATGACATTGAAAAAAAAAACGTTTTTTTCGCGATTTTTCGGTCCCAAAGACCCGTCCGCCCCCTTAAGGGAACCAAAACAACCAAAATGGCGGCATTGATGGTGACTTCGAGTGCAACGTTAGTGGTAAAAAGTCCGGAAAACCAAGTCACAAAAAGTTTGAGAAGCGTCCGAAATATCAGACTTTTTAATACATTGACTATATAGGGAACATTACGGTGCCACAGACGAGTCTGGGAAATTAGGCGTATCGGGAATTTCGGGCGTCCGAGAAATCGGACGTTGACTGTACATAGGAGACCAACCAAATGTGCCTAAGTAGTTTCATTTATGTGGGTTTTCCGTTTACCCAAGTTTCGTGGAGTCTACTGTACATTCATATCACCTGAAGCAGATCTGTAATGCACTCAATGCAATATTGTCCTTTACAAGATTCCTATCACCGCAAAACTCTGGTCGGGGTTCTATTGTGCTATCAATCTTTAAGGACCACGGGATGGAGTCTGAAACAATTAGGTGGAGAGATAGCGCCACTGGTGGTGGGGACAACACCATTAGGGACGTGGGCAGATGCAGAATAAGGTGTGTCTGTTAACAAAGACATGTGCGTTCTTCCTCCCCAAAAAATATAATCTACACCATCATAACAGGGCATTGTTAATGGTACTGTCTATGCAACTGTGCCGCCTTGCACAGAAGGCATTGATGATGATGGTGATGCTAAGATTTTTTTATTGATGTGCAAACAAAATGGGGAGGGTCCCTATCCCAGGACTCTGTGGGGATCTGAGGCGCGCCCGCGACCATTTTCGCGGGCATTCCGCCACACGGCCACACCCTTTTGCTTTCCTGCCCTGTTAACACCACGTGGCGATAGATGGCGCCACGTGCGGGCACGGCGCGCGCCACTGCGCGCACCGATGGAGCGGTCTCTTCTCCGTGAACGGCGCCGGGTAAGCACGTGTTTTCCTTCGTCCGCGTCCCCTTTGGGAATCGCGGACGGTAGCCTGCCTGGGGTGCCTTGGGCACCTCGGCAGGCGTGTTTACTTGAGTGCTAGCTTCGGAGCGTACGCTAAGCCCAGAGCGGTGCCTAGTGCTTGAAGTGGTCGTACCACAACGAGCCGCACTTGCCGTAGGCCTACGCGTACGAGGTTTGCCCTAACACTCGCGACCAGGCCCATTGGCCATCGTGAGAGTGCGCAGCATAGCCGCGAGGGACCTTTTCCCGACCGGCGTGTCAAAGCTCGCCATTGCCAGCTGCGACGTGCTCGCGGTTTTCCCCTTATTGTGAACGTCCGCGTGCCGGTGCCTTTGCTACCTGCGTCCCGGGAGCGGACCTTGTACTGTTGTTCGGGGTGCCGCCAGAGGCAATAAAGTGTTGTGTACTTTTACATTAGAACACTGTCTATTTGCCGCGCCGCGCTAAACGCCTTATCAGTTGAGCGCGCGCGGAGCGGTGCGCTACACGCGAGTAAACGGAGTAGCGGCCCTGTGGCTCGCTAAGCGTGAACCCGCGGTGATCGTCCGCTGCAGTTACGAGCGGGGTCACCCATAACTCCCATGACCTTTACCTTAGCCCAGACCTCGGGGAGCCGCTGTTGTGAAGGATGCCTTCCCAACACTCTGGGGTACAGATGGACCAAAGGATTAATGGGAGGGGAGGGATATGGGCAGCAGTGCACCCTACAGATACATGAAAGGTTGCGAGGATGATGCCGCATCCTGGACAGATGACAGTATAAAAAGTCGGGTGCATATTTTATGCATGAAGTGCAGATTTGGGAAAGTTTAGCTCTGCAGCTGGGGAAGTGCAACAGCCTCCTCTTGTGTGAAGGGCACTGGTGGGGCCTGGTATCGCTGCGGTTGAAATATCTGCAGAATTTCTGCAGAACAGACGCTTATAATACGTTTTCCACGCACGGTCTCTGATTAGAACGAAATAGCTCGGGCATCCTGATAGTATCTTTTTCTCCTTTGCTCCAAAATAGCATTGTCTTGCAAATCCAGGTTTTCTATCTTTAAATACAGTATTTTTATTTCTTTATTTTTCCTCTTGTATGTACAATTTTTACAGTATACTCTCTTGGCTTGAACAGTGAAAATGATTGTGTTTATTGTTTTGTATTTATAATGTATTCATTCTTACAGTAAACACACAAAATATGAAGTATGGATTTGTAGTATCCCTTTTCTTTTTGTTCAGTACATGCCTTATAAGGAAATAATTTTTCATGTCACTTTTTGTATTTACTATGACTGTATAATACACCAACCTTAAACAATTTGTTATGTCACTGAGGACCGTATTCACAAACCAACCTCATACTTTCGAGTTTTTCTTATTATTCTTTAACCTTTGTTGCGCATGATAAACAAACTGGACCAGTATACATTAAATAGTCTTGTTCTCATCTTTCGCCCTGTTACCATTTTTGTGTCTTTATAACGCATATAGAAAGTACAGGAAGTTGAGGAAAACGTGAGGCAAGGCTGAGGTTGGTTTGTGAATACGGGCTTTATTGTATTAACTATTTCCTCTTGAAACTGCCCACCTGCTTGGACCTAAGGGTCGACAGTATGTAATAAATAAAAATAAACAAATCTAATGCTGTGTGACCTCACGATATGCGATCAGAGAGGGGCTGCCTACAGTTGAACAGTGGTGCATTATACGCTCAAACCTCCTTATAACAAAGCTGCATCTTACACAAAATAAGTGTTATATCCAAGAATTCTTTACAAAGGTTTATTTTTAACACTATACCTATAGCAAAACCATTTTTCCTTTACTTCGTCATAACCAATATTTCACTATATCCTGCTTCATTATATCGAGGTGCGAGTGTAGAATAAAAAAAGCAGTTTACCATGAAGCGCTCCCCTTGAGCTTCTTGATCTCCTTGGTGGCCCAAGAGGCCAGTGTCTTTGTCTTTGTGGTCTTGGAACGCCGACCTTGGCTCAGCAACTCACTGATAGCTTCAGTGTCGACAAGGGGAAGCATTTGAACACCAAATGCTGTGCACAGGTCCCTGAAAGGAGCAGAACAAGGTTAAGAATTGTACATTTAACGTAGCAAACGGGGGCTTGTCGCCCACTATGACACATTAACAGAGTTTGCAGTAGACTCCTTTTAAACGAAACCTGAAGGGACCAGGAAAATGTGTTTCCTTTAAGGGGAGACACAGGTCCAAAAGTCGCGGTTTTCCGGAAAATTCCCATTTTTTTTTTTTCAGTTGTATTGGCATCCTTGGACTATAATCTTTTACTTCAGAAAATATCAAGCTGAAATTTGCGCGAGAAATTATCTAAAAATGCTTCCAAGTAAGAAGCGGTGACGTGATAAGTGCGCGAAAGTCACCAGAAATGATGTAGCTTGCGTTGTCCTGTCACGAAAACGACGCGTTAGTCGCCATTTGCAATCGTGCGTGCAAGCTGTGAAGGCCTTCCCCTTCACAATCCACTAGTAGCCAGTCTCGTATCTTCACGGAGAATAAACAAAAAACAAGAAAAAACAACGCATATGACACGCGTTTTGAATATCGCGGCAAGCAGCACGAAGCCGCCATTGGTCGGTGGTGGGCTTCGCCTCCTCCCTCTCCTACCTTTCTGGCAAAAGAGCAAAGCTTGGATGTAGCAATCGAGTTGTTCGGCGTTTCTCTGCAGTTATGAGTCATGGCAAGCCCCAAGAAGTGCAGTCTAGATAATCAAAAGTTCAGAACTCGCCCCAAGTATTAAGGGAAACGGCGTCGGACGCTTCCCAAAGCGACAGTGAACGACGATGTCACCGCCGACCAACCCCACGACGCTCCGACTTCAGATAGGCCTCACACTGACACCGCGACAGTGATTGATTGATATGTGGGGTTTCATGTCCCAAAACCACCATATGATTATGAGAGACACCGTAGTGGAGGGCTTCGGAAATTTTGAACAACTGGGGTTCTTTAACGTGCACCCAAATCTGAGCACAGGGGCCTACAACATTTCCGCCTCCATCAGAAATGCAGCCGCTGCAGTCAGGATTCGAACCCGCGACCTGCGAGTCAGCAGCCAAGCATCTTAGCTACTAGACCATCGCGGTGGAGCACCGCGACAGTGGTTGTGAAATAGTTGCTACCGAATTCGCCAGTGCATCCCAAATGAAGGGAGGATTCTTCGAGAGTGAACGTAGATTAGTAGTTGCTGCTACTGCCAACACGCTGCTTTGCGAAATCGATGCGCTGACTGCCCTTGTGGCGTGTGCGCAATGCTCAACCTGCCGTGAACAGAAACTCGGCGTCCGAGAGGTAGCTGGAAAGCACATAGGGCTTTCGGCATTTCTCGAACTGTGCTGTGAAAATACCGCTTGTCCTAAATCTACACTTTCATTCATCACTTTCATCTCACTTTCATGCACGCGTCGAGACGTACTACTTCGGCCAGGGACCAAGGAATGAGCGCTCTTTTCTACAGCGGCAGCTCGCGTGATACCTTTGCTGTAAACGTGAAGGCAGTTCTGGCACAGGCCATGACCAACTTACACGATTCTGTGCGATTCTTGGTCTTCCGAGTATTTAGTGCAAGCTGCTTTTCATTGTGCCCCAATTTGATGCAAAAAAATGGTTTCTTAATAAATGCCAACTTTCCAAACTTTCAAAGTTGTTTTTTTTCATTTTAATTTTTTTGACAATTTCACGTTTTCTGGGTAGCCTTTCAGACACTTATACTTATTGTATAGAAACTAAACTTGGCACACATTCTTCAACACATGCAGAATGCAAATATCTACTTGAAATTTCAATGCCTACTAGCATTAGTTATGAAAATATTAGGTTATTGTTTCAAGGAAGATTGAAAATAATTAGTCATTCAGTACAACAATTTTTTTATTGGTTCCAATATTTGTGTTACATATCTGGATAGATATTTGCACTTCACAATCTACCAAAAGTCAAATAAGATCAGAGACAATGCTTTTACTGAAAGTACATAAAGGAGTACCCGCAAAACATGCAACATTTCGCTATTGTGCATGGCATAACTCAGTAACTAACTCAGCTACACAAAAAATAATTGCATATTTGGAATCTCCATGAAAAACTATATTAGTAACAAAATTTTCAAGTATCTATGACCAGAAATAAAAAAAAAAGTTATTTCGGGGAGCATCTCCCCTTAAACTTTTCCTTTAATTAACATTTACCCAACCCAAAACAAGGTAATGTTGCACCAGTGATTGAGGTGTCATGGAAAAATTGCCACAGAACCTCACCCATAACCAGTGCCATGATTTCTGACCTTTCGACGACTGCAACCACCTTGAAAGTGCGTGGTCTCAGTGCTTTAAGGTCAACTCCACATACCACAAAAAACATTCAGCAAAAGAACCCCGATAGCATCTTCTTGTGCCTTTGTTTGCATACCCTGTCTTTTGCATTGAATGAATATGTACGAACTAGATGAGCTCTCTGTTATTCCAAGACCATACTCAAGCAGTCAAAAATACTTGCACACCGATCCTGCTTTTTGATTAATGTTGAATTGTGGGAGTTTGCAACACACCTGATTTGTTTACAAGGAGTTTGGCAGCAGCAGAAGAGCCATATTGCTGTGGCTCAGGGTTTTACATACTAAAGAACTAAGCATTTATGCATTTGCAGACCACGGTAGCCACCCATTCAAAGCATTTTTTTTAATGGGCAAGTGATAACAGGAAAGGTAAATTTGTTCAAAATATTCTATTTTACTTTTTACGATTACCTTCTGTGATCCCTAGACCACGGAAACAAATGCATAATCAAACAGTTGAGAAACCGCCTTTAATTTGCCATGCAAAAGTATGGGACCGGTGCACACGTATAAACTCCCACACGACAGGACATTGGTCATATCGAATGCTGCGCAGCGCCAAAGCGCAGAAAGTGGATTTTTCCTAGCAACAATGGATCAACTTTCAGCCGCGTTCTAACAAGTTCCGATCCCTTTCGCACGCAGGGACGAAAAGGCCGTGCTGATCTGGTTTGTTACGCAGCACTTGCGAGTGCACCGGAATGTTTCATGCACGATCTGCACGTCTGCAGTGGTTCAAAAGATCTTTTCGCGTGGTTACACGGGACAGGTGGTGCCATCTAGCAGGGTGCAGTTGAAACAAAAGCACTGCAATCTCGAAGCCAATGGCGGGGAATCGATCAATGGCTGTTGTTGCTGCTGTGGCTACCGCTCCTTTCGGTCTGCTGCTACTAGTGCAGTAAAGCCGGGCAGCGTTGTGCATGGCAACAGTGACGCGAGTCGGTCAGGTCGGTTTGCTTCTTGAGGCTACCGTATGAAGTGCACTAACCCGATGCGGAGCACTGAAACGCGATTTTATTTCAACATAGGCCCTTCCTTGGCACAAAAGTAACATTACGAAGTTTCTAGACTGCCATTTCAACAATCAACGTCAACTTAATAGTTGACTTTAGGGTGTGGGAATTGAGGCCGGTCCGCTGCCTTTGCGCGGGCTTTGCCGCCGATTTCTTCGTTCTCATGTGCCGACATGTCTCCCTTCCTCCGCTGTCTGCGGTGCTGGGGGAGCTGAGTGACGTTTAACCCCCTCACCCGGTAGCGGATGTTGACTATGGCGCCGCGCGCGGACTTTCTTGAGAGGTTATCGCGCGCTGCGTTGGGAGCGGGCAGAGAGACCTCTTCGGGGACGACATGGGGTAAGTACGGTTTTCTTTTCCGTTCGTCAGCTCCATGTGGGGCTCGTTCGGACTTCGCCAACAGCGCCTTGCGCCCGCGGTGAACGCTTACCTTATGCCCCCCCTTTTATGCCTGTGGCGTGGATAAGCCTATTTGATTTCCCGCCGCGCCTTCGCAACGGGCTGTACTGCGTTCGGTGTTGCCACAGACAAAAAAGTGTTGCTACTTTGAGCAGTATCGTGTTCTCGGCACGGCGACGGTTAACGCGTGCCCTGTGGCTCACTAAGACCGGACCCACGCTAGTGGCCGTACTCCTTCGGGATACGTGTCACTACAAGTGTCCCTTTAAGAAAGTTTCATTATTTTGAGTCGACTGTATTTCTTGAAAATAGGTTGAACATGAATATAAGTCTACATTCACCTTGGGGAAAAAAAAAGAATAACTACAGGCAAACCCACATCTTTTTTGATGAAATCAGGTTACAATGAACATGGCGCATCTTTATTTATCATAAGTTCGGCCTGTAAATCTCACTAGCTAATGAACTCGTTGCCGATTCTAAAAGGTTTTGATTTTCACTCATTCCAATAAATAAAAAGTAGACTCAATCGTCAAAACGTATTCAATTTGGGATCATCAAGATTTTAATCTAAGCATGGCAGGACCACTCCTGTGCAGTAATCCTACTTTTATCTTTAATAATGTCACGTAATGTTAACAAGCAGCAGCGCCATGCCTTGCCACAATGTCATAATTATGCTGGCCACTGTACTAACTTGTGGTGGCAGCAGTGTGTACAGATAGCCCCATAAGCACAATGCACCTGCACTGTTTGTAGTTGTGATTAAGGTCGTGTTGCTTTCTACGAATCAGCTAAACAGACATCAGTACGATACAGCCTCCGTGGTTACAACTGAGAACAATGTGTTTGGATTTCCAAAGACTCTGAGGAGAAGCCCTAATTTTTTAAATATCAATACACTTAAACCTCAATATAACGAATCCAGATATAATGAGTTATTGCTTATAGAAGCAAATGAATATTCTTGCAATAGACGGTGTTAGGAATATACTTTTATAACCAATTTTCGGATATAACAAACTTAATTTTGTGCAAGACACAACTTTAGGTTTGAATTTATTTAGCTTCATTTAGATGATGTTTGCACACAAATAATGGACTTCGAAGCTGGAAAAGAAAAATTGGCCCGAATCTACACGTTACACTGTAAATGTCATCGAAAAACGATAGTCTTGCGTCTGGAGAGAGTGAACAAAACGTTTATTTGATGTTCTGCGCAAGAAAATCGGTGAATAGTATTCTGAAGGCGCTGCATAGAGTGCCTCGAGCATGTAGCGGAGGCGAACAAGCGCATCTAGGCACACTAGACACGAGCGCCATCTGGCAATTATCTTCGAAAACGAAGGCGTGCGCGACCGCGGAGAAAGATGCGCGCCACTCTCAGAGGTGATAAGGTGTAGAATGCAAAGCGACGGGCAGGTGCCACCACCGTGTCGTCGTAGCAAAGCGTTGGAAACACTTTCTGGGGCATCGCGTTGCAGTGTCAGCGCAGCGCGATAAATGCTAGTTTTTAGAGTTACTTGTGTGTGCCTCTTCTAGTATAAAAGCAGACATACAAAACATAGACATGTTTTTATAGCGCCTCAAATATGCGCAATATTTGCTTTTTTAATTGACAATCGCACAACTATGAACGCTACACCTTGAGCAATATTGGTGGGCGCTGCATATGGTGTTGGCCGTTTGGTGCCGTTTGAGGTATCGTTAGAGCGGACAAAGAGACAAATGTACAGACAGACAGACCAAAATTTTTCTGTCGAAGGTCCCCAAGAAAGACTATCGTTTTTAAAAAAACCTGATTGAAAGCTCACATACCCAATGAGTCCAGCACACGAGGCGATGTTGGTATCTGAATGGTCACTGTCAATGGCAATTGAAGAGATAAAGTTTATAATATGTGGCACATGTGGCAGCAGCAGTTGAACATCAGCTGTAATGAGAAAAAAAATAAAAACTATATTAAATACACGGCACATGACGTTTTCACACAGATCAAGTTACTAGCAGTACACATTACATAGAACAAGCCAGTCAACTTTCATTACTTATCCTCACCAAGTACGAACAGGATAGGAAAATTATCCGATGAGCTTATACGATATAGAGGTCAATAAAATGTGTAAACATGCAACGCTTTCATTTAGCGGTACAATTGTACCTTGCTGTAACAATGCTGCAGAAAAAGCCACAATTACAATATAATAAAACCTAGGTGATACGAAAACAGCTTGTACCATTCATGAGGGATACGAATTTTTCTGTGGCCCCGGGCAAGACCTATTAGCCCGGCTTGTAATGAAGTGCAGTCGTTGGGAATCGATTTTCAGCCCATGCCTTTTAATACGATGGTACGCTATGGTGCAGGTATGAACGGGTGCTTTCGATGCTGTAGCAGAAACACAAGTGTGTGATCATGCACACTGTGCTACAATGTTTGTCAGAATTAACTATGGTTAAACCCACCTATCACGAACCTCAATAAAGTGTAACCTCATTACAACAGACCTCACTAGTGAAGTGGATTTTTGTCTGTTGTAAAAGTCGTATGTCAAATCCAAGAACTTTTACACGACACTTATGGAAACACTGACTCTGTTACAACCGGCGAGAATTAAGAGTCATATATTTATTTTTATCAATGGGGTATTCTCTATTTTTGAAAATCGCATCTTCAGTTTCTGTAGCCCTATTTCTATCAGATTCCAAAGTATCTTCACCGAAAACTATGTAGAAGTGCTGTAAAATGTTAAAAAATTTATAGCTTCACAACGGCACAACTGCCCACCACCATTTTGGGCTCGTCGTAAAAGTATTTCGTAAAGAGCGTTCCGTGAATAAAAAGCAAATCTTCAAAGTTCATTTTAAGAACTCCAATTGGCTACTTCTGTGATATTGCACCAATACGCCTCGCTGGTACAATTGCTAATTCTGTCTGCTTTTTGTCCGTCACGAGGTCGCAGGCTGTCTTTAAAATCTTGCTACATGGCAACGTTTTCGCAATCGTTCTGTCTTCATGGGTAGATAATTCAGTATACAATTACGCCTTAGTTTCACACATCGTCAACATCAGACACATACATCTCGAATCGACCGTCGCAGTGTTGACTCGTTGGCAGGAAGGTTTTGCATCAGCACTTCGGACTTTGTGACATGGCAAGACCACTGTGGGAGAAATTTTTGTACTCGCGATCGAACATGTCGTACTTAGAAACATCGAGCACCACAGTTATGCACATCAAAGCCGCACTTTCTGCTCCAAGTCATGGCTAGGCCCAACTTTCCGTTGAACTTGGCTGGCAAGACCGTCGCGTCAGCGGGTATGCAAAAGCGAAGAATTGATGTGCTAAATCACAAGCAACAAATCACATCAGCCGATGGCTCCTTAAGCCCCACAAATAGGCATCTTGCGCATCAGTAGCGAACCCCATCCAAGCTCGCCACGCACCAACTGCTAGGAACAGCAATGGCAGAGCAATTTAGCGCGTCAGTGCCCCAACATGCAAAACCAAGCACGCTGCACACTAACTTTTAGTCGTCGTAGCTTGGCGTAATTAATCATTAACAAACCGGAGAATGGCGGCCTTCATTCTTAAATCGGTACGTCGATATCAGCAGCGCTATTCCCATCTTGAAAGTGTGTCCCGTGATGTTTTAAGCCTCAAGCTATGGAATTTATGAAGTCGTCTATAAAAGAGTCCTGACCACATTGCTGGCCTCACATTTTAGTTAATTATATATGAATGCTCGTTGTACCAGAATCTGTAGTAATTGAAACTCAGTCAATGAAACAAGGGACGTAAGGATATAGCGAGCGAGAGTGAAGACGTGAGATGACGTTGAAGGTGGCTGATGGGGCCATGACGATCTCGCCACTTTATTTCAGGCCTGAAGCGGAGCCGCGGCAGCTGCCAGCATCCGACACGTCAGGCGCGTTAGCTCGTTCTATCTGCGCGCAGCTCAAGCTACCATAAGCTGCGTGAGAGGTGCTTATCTCACACGCGTACTTTGCCCTGTGAATGCGGCGGGTGTTAGATGCTTGTGCACGCGCGCTTATCCTTCGGTGGGGAAAATCGCGCCCCTTCAACTTTGACCGGAGCGATTGTGTTTGCAGGGCGCACAAAGATCACTGCGCTCTTTTCACACAGCCCCTTCCAGTTGAAACTGCACTGACACTTGCCGAGATAACAAGCGCGCCAGCAATCACAACCGTCCTTAAAGTCCAAGTTCATTATTGCTACGCCCACAAGCTTTGTGCATGGTACTCCAATACTCGAATATTTGCTTGCACTTTTTGTGTCTCAAATAAATCTTGCCTTGTGTAGAACGTAGGAGTCGAGATTGATTGATTGATATGTGGGGTTTAACGTCCCAAAACCACCATTTGATTATGAGAGACGGCGTAGTGGAGGGCTCCGCAAATTTTGACCACCTGGGGTTCTTTAACGTGCACCCAAATCTGAGTACACGAGCCTACAAGCGCTTTTATTGTTGAGGTAAGTTTTAATTACCGTAATTACTCGAATTTAACGCGCACATTTTTCCGGTTAAGCGAGTTCATAAATCGCATGCGCGTTAGAATCAAGTACGAAAAAAAAAAAAGAATACGGTCATTCTATTGCCATTGGCATTTCCAAAATGGCCGCCCCTACGTGTGTTGGCATGGCGCGTCGGCCATTTCTGCCTGTGTGTTTCCCATGTGCGGCACTTAGTACGTGTGCTGAGGAGTTCGTCATCTTGTAGTGCATTAGCATCGACGGCATGGAAGGGCCGACTCCAAAACTCGAGTGCACCACGATGCCGCTTTTAAAAAAAAGTCATTGTGTGTTCAGAAACGGACGGAAATCGGGCCTCATCGCGCTCGTTCGGAGTTCACGAAACGTGTGTGCGGGATTGACGGAAACAAAAGCAGAAGATTGTCGACAACAAAGATTCACGCAAAGGCTTCAGCGGACCACACCAGGGTCGGTTTCTCCAAATTGAAGAGCTGCTCGGCGAGTACGTGCTTGAGCGAGCGGCACAGCGACCCGTGACGACAGAACTGCTCCAAGTGCGGGCTATGCAATTAGCCTTAGAAAAAGGTCTAATGCGGAGCCAGTTTAAAGCGAGCAGGTGCTGGCTAACTAACTTTATGAAGAGGAAAGGCTTTTCCCTTCGAAGGGGAACGGGCATATGCAAAAAGTTTTGCGGAGGAGTACGATGAAAAGCTTCAGAGTTTTCAGAGGTTCGTCCTAAACTTGCGGCACAACAACGGCTACCTGCTTGGGCAAATCGGGAATGCCGATCAGACGCCTCTTTACTTCGACATGCCTGGCACCACAACCGTCCAGAAGAAGGGGGCAAAGCAAGTTTGCGTGCTGACATCGGTCCACGGTAAAACTACACTGACGGCAATGCTCTGTTACACGCCAGATGGGCACAAGCTTTCCCCGTACCTCATATTTAAATGGAAGACGCTCCCGAAAAGAGTCGTTTTTTCGAGTGGTGTGATCGTGCGGGCCAGCGAGAAAAATGGGTGCGCGTTGCAATAGATGTCTTACTTTTTTTTCGTCGTGGAAATCGGGTGCGCGTTACAATTGAGGGCGCGGTAGAATCGAGTAAATACGGTAGTGCTTCTCAAAGCTTGCTGTTGATTGCTGGTGTGAGAATCCCGATTTGCGGCCACTTCGTTTTCTTTTTCGGTCTGTACGTTTTCGTGGAAAGTTTTCCCTGCGCAATTCTCGCACCCCCCAACTTTGCATCGGTTTTCCGCCAAAAAAGTGCGGGGATTATGCGAGTAATTATGGTAGATTTCCATGATATCCGTGCTGTCCGCTCTTCGTTTCTGATGACGTGTGCATGTACATGAAGTGGCCCCCGATGACGTTCAACTTTTTTATTTTTTTTAATCCAGACAACCGCGTCATCACAGATTAGGCGCTGATGGAAACTCTCAGAGAGCACGTTTGATGGACCTTCGGAAATTGACTTGTCACATGCTTCCGTCTTAAGAAGGTCTTGCGCCATGCCGCAAGTTCGCATGACCGTAGCCTTTACTATTAGCCGATTAGCTCAGGCAACACAACGGTCCGTTGAAAGCAATGCAATGAATGTAATAGCAACAAAATGTCATATTACACAAAGTAAGGTTGGCAGCCAAATCTTTTAGATTCAATATCACGGAAAGGTGCGGGCATAAGCAAACACGGCCGCTCCACGGAGAAGTGCTCTTTTCACAGTTTCTTCCCATTGAAAGCGCAGGGATTCCCGCAGAGATAGCACGCGCACCAGTGATTGCGACCGCCCCCTTAAAATCAAAGTCCACAGTTGCTACTTGAGCCATGTCATCGCAATCAGACATCCTGTGGAAGCCAGACGAAGACCAAAAGAGAAAGCGAACAGCCTTAGCAACGAAGCTAGGCCTCACAATGTCAACATGCCTAATTGTTGGAGACGTGCACACCTACCAGATGTCTAATATACAAGAGAGTCCCAAATTTTCAGCAAACTAAGATTGCGCGAATGCGTCTATATATCTCCCAAAAAACACTCCTAACAGCCCCACGATAACAAAAGACAGCAGTTCCAAGTTATTCTGGCCTTAATGTATCATGTGCAAAGCATTCTTGAGTCCCTTTTGCCCCATATATTTTCGTCATGCATAAAAGCGTACCAAGAGAATGAAGGAACCACTAGCTGTGAGGATCATAACACACCCGGTTCATCAATTACACACATGTGCCGCATACCTGTAAAAACAGATATGATAGCCGACATCTTAAAAGCTTTCTTGGCAATCATTCAGTGCTGTTCACGACATTGCTGCGGCTTTTAAAGGGCCCCTGACAGCGAAAGTATTGTGTGGCTTTTTACGGTAATTAGTAGCTTTGCGTCTGGTAATCTCGAAAAAGAATCGTAAACACTTATGTAATTAATGCTAGTGCTGTAGATTCGGAACGATTTTACGCCAGTTTGAAACGGCCTCCTATATATCAGTAACTAGCACCTCGACAAGCGCATAAGACTACGTGCACTCAAGCTTTGGTGACGCTAAACGTGCTGTTTTCAAATCAGCGGACATGTAGGTGGTGAAGAATGAAACGATGTGGGTGCTTTGAGCATGTCAGTCTCAGAAACAAGAGAAGCATTCTTGACGTAAGCAGTCAAAACCACCTTGAGAGCAGCTTAATGACAGAGTGAGAGGGGTGACGATCAATAGTCCTCGTTGGGTGCCAGCCGGAGCATTGTGCACGACCCGCAAATGTTCTCCAACGTCGACAATACTCATCTTACTCGTGAAACATCACGAGAGGCTTCTGCCTAAGTCAAACCAGAAAAGATGGCAATTGTTGCTGATAACTCAAAATGAAACTCAATTACTTTAAACCAATTTAAATTATCTCATCGGCAATGCTTGTCACCAATAATCCATCAAAAGTGCCCCCACAGGCAAAACACTCAAACAACACAAGCAGCTCGAGCTTTCAAATTTGGTATCGAGGGTCCTTTCAAAAACAAATGCAAATGTATGCCAACTTTTCCTTGTATAAAAGTTTCCTGTGTTTTGTGGTGCTATGAATATTTTTGGTGATCCCGCAGGATTCAAATCAGTGAGGTTTTGCCATACTACTCTATTGTAATGTGATCTCATTTGTATATCAGAGAAGGGGTTTAATTCCACACTAATGGTAGGCCTGGTATTGCATTATAGGAAGGACTGCTGTATCTCCACCAGCTTACAAGAAAAGGTAGACCCATAGAACATAAGGGGTTCTACTGTAAAAGCAAATTCTGGGAGACTTCTTAAAATAGAGCTTTTCAGTGTACATGAGTGTGTACCTAATCCAAAGTAGCATGGAGATGCTTACCATTTGGAGAATTCTGGTCTCCCTTGAGTCCTTGAACAATGCCTGTGTAAGCTTCTAAGCAGCCTTCCCGCAACTCATTCAGGTATTCTACCATCTCATAGTCATGCTGCAAGACAACAAGCCATAACATTTAAAAGCGTCAATTTTGTAGAAAAATACTGCGCAGTCAATTCACAGCACATAAGTCATTTGGGGAAAAGAACATCGAACAAAAGTAATAAAGAAAGAAAAATCACAGCATTTCCATGGAGTGAATGATGATGAGTGGGGCAAAGCGTTTGTCAGCACGTCCGTGCTTCTGTGCATCCGCTTTCTAGTCTGTCTGTCCGTGCGTCCATCTAGTGAACACTCCGAGTACCGCCATCTCGCATCCCCTGTGGCACATACCCGCTCCGCTTGTTCATCCGTCCGTCCGTGCGTTTATCTAGTGAACACTCCAAGTACCGCCATCTCCCATCCCACATCCAGGTGGCTACGTACGGCAACGACGGATGATGACGGATGATGAACAGACCCACGCCTTAAGGAGCTCCGCCACTAAAACTTAAACATCAAAATTCTACACTGAACAAGCAACTGTTTCGATAAACAGTATTTCACATATTTTATTTTTTAATCATTTCGCTGCATTCATGGAGAATCGTCAGCATGTGGCAGTCTCTTGCCACTATGGTAGATAAAGTATGCATGAAGTGTGCACACCAGTCCTGTCCTGCTACATTCGTTTATTCACCTCCCCTTTACATTTGAGATGTGCCTCTTATTTAGGGCCTTCACCTCACCTGAGAGCATGGGGGGGGAGACAGGCTGAGAATGTTGAGAGAGGCTGGTGATGGCATGCCCATTTTGAGTACATAAAACATCACTAAATGTCGCATGTAGTTTGTGGCACCCAGCTAGACGAGGCTGTTTGTGAAGAATGCGCTAAATTTGTCATTTTCCCTAGTGAAATGAAAGTTGTGTGTACACATTTCAGCACATATTCTTTCAGTCCGACTAAAAATCTCGGCGCAAAAATTTTGTTCAGTATTCCTTCGCACAAAAACCACGTACACACTACACACTTGCAGCTTCAAAGCCCTTTTCGAAATCTTTTCAATGTATGACACATTTACTCGCTCTATGAATGCACTTTTTTTGTCGAAAAATCGGAGCAAAGAAGGGGGTGCATTCATTAGGTGGGATAAATGTCATGAAAACTTTTTCGGGAGAAGCGAAAAATGTGGTACTGCAAAACATGCACACACACACAAGGTCGCTTAGCTTTTTGCAATTGACATACACGTACACTGTTTGGAAACTTCTTAGTCGCACTTGTCTTCGGTGGTTGATGAAGCTAGCTTTTGCAAGCTGTCGTCGCGCCGCCTATGCATGCCATAAAAGCGTTTCAACTGTCTTTTCTCGCAATCGTTTAACCGCAACAGGGGTATCTGCTGTGATCTCGAGGGGCGCCTGGAAGCGTGTGCTACGATGCACTTGGCCAACTTCGCGGCAACCTCGCGAGACGACGCCATTGATATTGTAGCAAGTAATTAACACTGGAGCAAGCTACCACTGAAGCATCAAAACAAACAGTCGATAACAAGCTTAACGACAAGATACAGCCACTGCCTTGCTGTCCACACCAGAAGTTACTCTAGAAAAGGTAGCCTGTATCCTGCGTTCCTTAAAGTACGCGCAGAGCAAATCGCAAGTGAGAATCGGGGGTGCTACCATGTTCTGAAAATAGTCACGATCTTTTCGTGGCAACAAGCGAACTTGTTTTTTCTGGTTTTCGAGAAAGCTCAACGCAATGGCGATGAACGGCCCTTTGCAACAGCCATGGTGACAGCAAATCTTGCCATCATCACTTGAAAATCACGTGCATGTGGTTGGGCCTTAAAGTTTCAAATTTATAGGAAGCGATCGCCGGTTGGCACAAGCAGCTTTGTGACCTTTGCTCGCTGTTTGCTTGTCAGCTACAATGTCTACTCTCACACTGTTCGTGAACCCAACTGTGGCGCACAGATAATTAAAAAGACTGAGGAAATGCTGCGCACAGATAGAAAGAAGAACAATACGGCGCACGGCAGCGGGTAAAGGAGGGAGAGAGCGAGCAGAGGTGGCTGAGAGAGGTCGGCATAATAATATAGAACAGAAGAGATCCAATGGGCAAGGAGGCGCCAGGTGTAAGTTAGCGGGACTGCAGCGGCTGAACGTAGCAGGGGTGTGTATTTTGCGGGGGAGGGATTCAAAGTTTGATGACAGAAGCTAGCGGGTGAGTTAATTATTTGAGTGCGTTCATAACACGAGTAAATACAGTAACTACCTTAGTGAGTCGGGTAACACACAGTGCAAGGGTAACAGGGATTGGGGTGGCGCCTTAGAGACATGAACTGCACGAGTGGGTTCTGCGTTTCACACCATGCCTTAGAAACACGGGACGATGCCAGTACAGTCCAAGCAAACCAATGTACACATAGTATAGGATCACCGCATATTGAGGAGGCTGTACGGAGCGTGAACAACGGCCTTTTATAGCTATGGCTTGATCCTGGGAAACAGACACTCATGAATCGTGCATCACTTGAGAGATGTCGGCACCAACAGTGGCATCGTTTACATAAAAATATCGTGCTTCATAAACGTTCAAGCAATACTCACTCATACCAAAATCAAATCAGGCTTGATGCAGGTACAAATGGCTCAAATACTAAACTGTTGAACACCGCGAAATTCTTTCCAAGAGGAGCACTCCGAACAAATTTACTCACGAAGGTTGCAGACATCTTTGTTTACATGTGAACATAATTTAATAAATATACACTAAAACCTCACTATAACAAAGTTACATCTTACATAAAAATAAGTTCGTTCTATTTGTAAATTTGTTATAATGTTATCTTTCCAACACTGTACCTATAGCAAGACTCATTTACTTCGTTAGAGCTGATATTTCATTATATCCATGTTCATTATATCAAGGTTTAAGTGTAGCTTGTATCAAACAGTAGGACTATAATTCATAAAAATATTTACCTATGCTCGCAAAACTGAAAATGTGGGATCCACACAGTATTTGCTATAGTGACAAAAACATTTATTTTGGCCTCAAGTACGCATAAACAGTATTCTGGTAGTAAAAACTTCAGGTCTAACCACCAACAAATATTCGAAATGCCCAATAATGTTTCCCTCGTAGCAGAAACTGTGACACACAACTAAAGCCATGTGCAATAGTAGTGCTAAAATTTAGGATGCTGTAGCATCAGACATAGAGTGCATAGAAAATCACAAATGTGGATGCGTGTACATTGACAACCTTTAACAGGCCAAAAACTGACAACTGCTGACAAAGCGTCACTGGTTAAGGCTAGCAGCCTTAAGTAGCATGGCTGGTGACAAGTTTAGCGAATATTCAGTCACATTTGTAGGCCTTTCTTTAGATTTACGCTAGACGGATGACTTTAGCAATGCAATCATGAGAGTATAATTAAATTCCTAGACAGACTCACTGATACTAGTTACATTCGAAACCCTTTATAATGCACCAAGGAGCAATGCTTGTCTTATATATGAGGTATCTCTTATAGAAATTCATGGAAATTTAGTCATCCCATTACGATAGTGCACTGCCTCATCATAAACAATGCAGATGTGCCTCTCGGACCCACTGTAGTACTCTCTCGTTGGACCCGCAGTTTGAGATGCTGCTTTGTGACACAGACCACAGCGCGACAACTCTTTATGCTCATTATTAAGCAGGACACACTTTGAAACATTGGGCACTGCGGCCATGCACATCACAGCCGAACTTTCAGCCTGAAGTCATTTAGGCCTCCGAGCTCTGCTTCCAACTTAGTGGGTAACACCGTTGTGCTAGCGAACATGCACAAGTGAAGAAGCTTGTTGAAAGCGTCAAATTACATTGCTAGGTGGCTTCTCAACCGCGAAAAGGTCTTTTGCATATCGGCAGCGAAGAACCCCTCCCCCCTTCCTCACCCCAGCTTGACATGCAGTGAACTTCTTCGACTTACACATTCCGGACATCTCCACATGGCCACGAACGCCAGAGCCGCATTTGTTTTTCTCAGGAATCAACTAGAAGCTCTACCCACTGGTCCAGGACTGCTCAGACGCATGTTCGTTTTTTGCGAGCCTGGTGGCCTGCAGACGGCCCGGGACTGTCTGAACGATTTCTTTCAAGCAAATGGCAGATGACGGAGCTGTGCGCATGGCCCTGCGGCCATCTTAAGTTAAGACGCGCGAAATTTTGGACACGCTCTTGCTTTCTCTTCATTTTTCTGTCCGCTTCTCACACGTTTCTGGAATTCTCATTGTATGCACACCCAGTTCTTGTCGTCGGTGTTCTGAGCCACATCGAGCGTGTGCGTATTCTTAAAGGTTGGGCAAAACGTGCACGATACTGGCCAGGAGAAACAGCAGTGGAACGACCACGCGGGTCTACGATGCATGCGTGCTCGAGTAGTCCACTTACAATAATTTGCATCACAACAGAAATAGGTAAAATTCACTATCTAACTGCTATTGAAGTAGAAATCGCATCGGCGTTGTGGGCTGTCGCAGCCATGAATAGAGTAGACGCCAAAGCGGACAGCATCAAGTGCGCAGTGACGTAGCCGCCTATGAGCTAAGGCGTCCACAGGTTGCCGGCGGGTGGTCTGGCACTTGGTAAATCATGAAGCTGAGTGACCACTCGGAGCAGCGGTTAGCAACTTCGCTTGTCAGCGCTCTAAAACACAAGACCAAGCATGCTGCGCCGATTTTTGTCACGGTAGCTAGGCATAACTGATCATTAATGGGTCACAGATCTGTGGCCTTTGTTCTTTAATCGGTACATCGATAACCACCGTGAACTGTTCCCCTTCCAAAAGCATGGCAAACGATGTTTGAATTTATTCAACTTGGAATGTGTGGTAGAAAAGTCCGTTGTAAAGGAGTCCTGAACACCTTGCAGGCCTCACAACTCAGTCAATTATATATCTGAGTGTCCGTTCTACTAGAATCCATAATAAGCTCAATCCATGGAACAAATAAGGATGTCTGTATAACAACTCAAATTGGTATGTAGTATTCAAATGTCTGTTGTAAGTACAATAGATGCATTAATTCACTCTGATAATTCATACTTTCACTTAATTCAAAGAAAATTCTATTTTTTGATTGACCTTCTATTCTTTCAATTATTTAAAAGCCTCTTAATTCAAACTCGATCACTCGGTTACTTCATACTTTTTGCAGGTCCATACCCAAATATATCTGCTACTTTCCCACTACTATTTAAAAACTTGTGTGTTTACATAGCCCTGTCTAAAAATGAAAAATAAGCGCCTGACGCCTTCAAGGAAAAAGGTTTTGAAAAATAACAAATGTTTGAAACGAAGCAAAGACATGGTAAACCATGATGCTTTTCAACTAGTAAAGAGAGCTTTGAGCTCTCTTTACTAGTTGCCTTTACATGCCTAAAGCGATGAAGCAGTTGGAGATTCCGATTTCTTTAAAAGGTCTGATCCTCTGTAAATGGCCAATAAACTTGTAGGCTTTACACCTCTGCTTTCTTTTACTGCGTGCAGTTAGGGCTTAAAAACACCTAAAATTTATAAATGGTATGAAATCAATGCCTAATCATAATGTGTGGTGTCACCTCACCTACAGTCATCTGAGAACTTTTTATAATTCAAACTTCTTCATAATTCGAACAAAATTCAGAGGTCCCTTTGAGTTTGAATTAACGAGCGGACTGTAGATCCGTTGTATTGAGGTTATACTGTATGTGAATTTGGCACATTCATATGAGTTTTATTATCAACACATATTTTAATGTCGACACACTGATGTCTCTTATACCCATTTGTCCTGCATCACTGTCTCTATAAAGGGGGTTTGACTGTATTAAAAAAAAGTGCTAGCATCAAATGCTTTAGTTCAAGAAAAAAGAACGTCAAAGAAAAGAACACATCTTCATTTTGAATAATGTAAACCGAAAGTTCTTGACAGAATATTTGCTTACCTTGTCAACATAAGCCACAGAGGCTTGAGCCAATGTTTGAAGTACAATCTCAAGGAATTTCTTGAACTCTGGTCCAATGGCCAGGGCAATATCACCAAATACTGAGAGGATCTGAGGCTTCACTGAGCGATGCACATTATTGTTCTGAAAACAAAACAGAAGCTCATAATTATTTACAGTCAACTGCCAAAATGTTGCAAATGCCCTATTGAGTCAGTGTACCCTATTAATAAAAATATTTGACACCATGGTCCAGTTCTTACTACTCTCCCTTTAATCTTTTGCACTGCTTAATATGTTGTAAAGAGCGAGTGCATCTTTTACAAATTAATAGTTTTTATATTAAAAAAAACCGAGTTTAAAGAGGCTTAGCTTTATACGTATACTGGCACCATTTCACTACATCAAAAATGCTTTTTGTAAACACACGCAAACCTCTTATAAGGGAAAACCTAATAAATTATCTGTACACAGTGGAACTTCAATTATACTTTCCTCACATTTGCGACAACCCACAATTCACAACAAACCGATTTGGCTCAGGAGAACCCACCACAGAAATAATAAAACAAGAGCCACCATCATATAACGGAACGTTTCACTGGCCTCGCATGTTAGTGCCACGTTACTTTCTGAAGCTTTGTTATCGCCCTGTCACACAGTTCGTAATTCTCAGCGCAAACCACGCCTGCAGCGTTTGAGAAGCTTCAGGACTGCAGTAGATCATTTTGTTAAGATTCTGCCCACTTCGGTGACATTGCAAATTATTCTGGAACATACGTGGCCACTAGGGATAACGCTAAAATATTAGAACGTGTATGAAGGCTGACGCGCATCACCGCTTGTCAGTTCATTGACGGCCGAAACTCTGTTCGCCACTATCAGTGTCAGAGTGCATCGCGGTAATCTGACCTTCAGTTTACGGGTCACAAGTTCGGCTGAATAAACAGTTTTGATCTTCTAACTACAGTCTGCTTATTCGTTGACATCACGACCTCACGACAATATGAGTATATGAAAACGCCAGAGAAAAAATTGCCTTTTTCTCTTTTACTTTTTTTCTTTTACGTCCACCAAATATTTGCAGGTGCAAAATAAAACCTTACCTGAGTTCATAGCACTTAAGTGAAACAAAATTCAACGGTCTTCAAGGACTCTTAAGGACCTAACAAATACTTTTCAAGACATAAAATAACACTTGCAACTGCAGAAAATGACAACACTTTTTAAAGCATAAAAATTTGTACTTTATTTTATTTGTATGGTTGGCCTCATAAACGCACTAAAGTTATTATGGACTGTAGCCACTTTTGTGTTCTCAACGTGTTTCATACTTTTCATGTGACTTACGAGCATGCTCCCCTGTTCATGACACGTCAAAACTCTTCCTACATGGGAACACTGCCTGATGAGAGTTTAGCATATCTAGTGCAATCTACTCCATATAAGCAGCAATGCATGACCAAGATGGCTGGAATTTGCACTTGCCCGGCATAGTTCCACCATAAGCGAGGAGACTGCGGTCATACGTGCACACTTGCACAGTCTCCACAAAAAAAAGCCAAGCTTGGCTCCGTTGCTGCTGTAATGAAGCAAGCGCTACCACAACTACAGTGTACTAGAAGAGTACACTGTACTACAACACTGCACTATGGCTAAAGAAACGGATTGGATGGTTTGTTGGCTTGAAAGCACATAGTTGCCAGGCAAGCAAAATAAAACCACTAAATTATGGCTTAAGGAATTTCGATTGACAAAATTCAAGGAATTTTAAGGACCTCAAACAAATTGAAAGGTTCTCAGGGCCTTGAAAATGCCCTTTAGAACCATTTAGAGGGTTTTCAAGAGTTTCAAGGACTGCTGTAAACCTGCTTACATGCCTCTAAATTCACAATTAGAAAGAAATCCAAGAGAACAGACATTTGAGCTAGTTGGTTTGTTACGTTCGATGAAGCCATAGTGCTTAAAAGATCGGGACCAAGAAAAAGTCTAACTACATTATACATTTGATCGTAAATATAGCATTACCAGCTATATCGAACAGTTGGGAAATCCGCTTGAATTTCTCATGCAAAAGTATGGGACTGGTGACTGTACAGTAGAATCTCGACACGATTACGATCGGTGCGAATTTTGCGATGATACGAATTTTAAGGTAGCTTCGGATGGACTGCATTACACAAAATATGCCATGATTTGGTGTTATACGAACCGTCTCCCCAGCAACCATGGATAATACGAACGCACAATTCACCGCTGCACACAAGCGGTGGAACACGGCTCATCTGTGGAAGGAATGCACGTTCACACTTGGCCTCGAAGGGAGCAAATGCGGCATAAGTCACAGTAAGTTACCTCGCTTTGCCACCGGAGAAGTGAGCGGAAAACCATGCTGCGAGGCCAACGTGAAAAAATCAGTACGAAACCAATTTTGCCGTCTCGCAATAGCAGATCCCCTTTCTGATACGGATTTAGATACACGAGCTGCACTAGCTCTCAAACCATGTGATGCAAACAACCAGCCGTACATTCAATATGGTGGCCAAGGGCGTTGGCGGGTGCGGTGGCTCGTGTCGGCACAATTGCAAACTACCCGCGCAGTACGACAGAGCTCACGGCCTTGACAAGCACACGTTCATTGAGAGCTTGGTTTGGATTAAGATCGCTGCGCAAACCGGAAGTAGAACAAAGTGCAGCAGCAGCGAGTCGGCATGCGCTAATGCGTCTCGCTTTGCACTGCCTGCAGAATCCGCCGCCGCCGCTGCCAGTGCATCTGCTCGTGTCATTTCTTCTGACGTATCTCCCGAAACAAAGGTGTAAAATATTTTGGTTCAGCACTTTGAATGCATAATCAGTGGGGGTTTTATTGCTTAGGAATGAATTCACAAGCGGCAAAGACGGCGGCGGTGGCATTTATACAAGCGGCAGAAGGAATGTGAGGATTTCCGACTGGGCGGATGTGGTATTGCGGCCGCTCTGGTATTTTCGCTCGAATTCTCGAGTGTGAATTCTCTTAGACCGTTTTTTTTTTCGTATCGACTTCGAGTGCGTTTTTGCGGACACTTGCGACGAAGCGAGTGGATGTTCAATAAGTTTAGCTGCTTTCACTCCCTTTTATACGAACTGTGAATGCGCCTTACAGTGCCAGCAGCATGAGTGAGGAAACTGCTGCACTTTATTGAGAGGCAATGAAAGCAGGAAAGTTCAAGATAACATCATAGACTTTTTTCAGCAAGTAGTAGTCGACCCCAATAACTTTCTTGGTCAACGAATTCCATATGATATGAATATTTTTGCGTGCTCCCTTCGAATTGGTATTATCGAGATTTTACTGTTTCGTTGCACGGCACCTGTGAGTGCACCGATATGTTTGTCGCGCCTGCAGGTCTTAACGAGCGGGCGTAGTGTTTCTCAAAAAGACCCATTGCCAAGGACACCAAAATGAGGATGCAAAGTGACTTGGCGATCTCGTTGCAATATTCGCATTCTCTTCCTTGTTCGTTAGCGCAGAATGGCATGCAATGGGCATGTGAGCCTGTAAAAGCATGGCCTTTGAGATGTGCAACCTCATGACGTATATTTAGTGTTTTCGGTTTTAAAACACACATCTCGGAGGCTACGCTTTTCCTACTTTTTCGTATTAAAGCAGTGGCTGCGAGATACTAATTCACAAGTGACATCAATATTGCTAACATGTTGACGATGGGAACACGGCGTTGTTTTCGCGTCATGTGAACTTGTGTACTTATTCGGGAGTTAAACAGAATGATGACGCGTACGTAGCGATAAATATTATGACTGGCGCTTGAAGCGACGCCAAGTAAAGCACTGTCCCAAACTTTGCTTGCGGGCCAGATGAGGACTTCGGCTGCGTCATGATTGCCTCAGTGAATTCTGGGACTTATCAGCATTTCCGGGCACCAGCTCGGACAGTGAGCGACTTCATCAGTGCAGATGACGTTTCAGACAGCACTGATACTGAAATCATGGCTGCCATTGCCGAAGGAGTGTACCCATGCGCATATGGACATCACTGCCTTCGCTGCCGCCACTAACCAATTTTTTGCTGCGCTACAAAGCTTGCATCGCCGTTCTGCGTCAATCAAGGCTGTTGTGGCCGAAGGAGCTGAATTCTGCTTACAGTAAAACCCCGTTAACTCAAACTCGGTCATTGCAAAATCCCGCTTAATTCGAGGGATTTCCCCGGTCTCGTATTTTGCAATGTAAGTTTGAGTGAATAATTTGAAGCGGCGGCTGGCACCAGTCCGGTTAATACGAAAACTTTGGGTGATGTGCCAGTTCCAGATCTCGATTTCGCCGCGAATTTGCCGAAACAACCATTAATTGCCACAAGGCAATGCAACGTATTGATACTAATGAGTGACAGCTGAGGCACCCCAGTCTCACTACTTCCAGCGCAAAAAAAAGAAAAAGAATAAAAATGATCTTGTGGTCAACCGAAACGTGCATCTGCGGAAAATGAGCCATGCTTCACTGCAACACAGTGGTGACACGCGGGCAGCTGATCGCATGTTTCTTGCAATGTCAGCAGGTCATGGTTTACCCATTCTTTCTGGGATTGTTAAGAAATTAATAAAGGACAGTTTAGCAGAAATCGCGATGTATGCGAACCTCCGGTTGCTCCAGCGATTTGCGTTTTTGCACTGCTGGCGGAGTTTTTGCCAGCAACACCTACTTCGAAAACTAAGAAAGTTTCAAAGATAATCTTTTCCAGCCAAAACACATTGTGAGCTTCGTCATACTGGCCGTTATTAAATTCATAATTATTACAATAGAAAGAATGTGCGAATGATTGCGTCATGACGTGCTGATGCAGAGAGGGGCACACGACATGCTGCCCGCGTGTCACTACTGTGTTGCGGTGAAGACGTCTTGTTTTCTGCAAGTGCACATTTTAGTCACGACCGCGTTTTCGTTTTTCGGTGGCAGCAGCGAGGCCCACCGTTCCTCCATGTTCGCGGCAAAATAAAGACCAGGAATTGCTGAAAAACATAACCTTTCGAGCCGCAAGCTAACCGGCACAGCAAACGAGGAGCACTAATTACTTTGAATAGTTCTAAATTCCTTGCGTCCCACTTTTTGTATGTTCTGTTAATTCGAAAACCCGCTTAATTCGAACCTTTCTCGCGGCCCCAGTGACTTTGAATTAGCGAGGTTTTACTGTATATGGATTCTCAAAATATTGCAGTTTTTACAATTCAGTGTTATTGCGGATTACTGGAACTTGACGGCGCGCAAAAAGCAAGACAAGCTTACGGACTATATTCATGTGGAATAAAGTGCGGAAACTTGCAGTTCACACCTTGTTTTTCATTATACTGTGGAAGAATCGTTATTTAGGACTTTTTTGTAACGATTTCACAAGCCTGAAATGCTTTATTTCCTTGAATGCGTATATTTTAGACTTCAAATTATCGATGTATCGAACAGTTTTGTGATCCCCTTCAAGTTCTATATATCCGGGATCGACAGACACTAGGTGTTTTATGTGCGTAAGTTACAATAGGTGAATACATTATATCAAGGTTTAACAATATAAGAGACCGTGTCCCTTTTAAAGAATGGTCACGTACTCACCCCTAAGTTCTCCAGCAGCATTGTCATTACGTCATCACAGAAAGGGAGGACCTGAGATCCCAAAGCCCTGCAGATGTCACCTGTCAGACCCACAGCAGCTGAGCACACCTGCAAGCATTCGGTAGACAGAAAACTTTGTTTCAGGCAAATGCACAAAAAACATGCTCCTCCCAATGATGGTGTCTTAGCACGCTACCTGATATTCCGCATGGTTCTTCAGACCGATGGCAAGGAATGGCCGGAACGCTTCCATGTACTTGACAAACTTGTCACCCAGAACTGAATGACCAAAGAAAAAAGAAAAGAATGATGTGTAAATTGCATGGAAACAGTACTGATTGGTCCAGCAGCCAGTGAGGCACTGCAATATACATTTTGTAGTGCTGCCAACAATCAAATTTAATCAAAGCATAGCTTCAAGCTGGTATGGAGCTACTGAAATTGAGACAAAAATAATGCTGGAGTATCAAAAATTAGGAAATCAAATGTGCAGATTGTTTTTATTCACTTGAAAACAGCAAATGCACGCCAATTCAATAACGCAATTATTGGAAGCCTACGCGACTCCTCCTTCCCAATCTGAAATTTTGATCGAGAAGCAAGGCCCCAGGAGCAGTGTGGTCAGTACCTTCAACAAGAGTAGAGGCCGCCATGAGTGCATCCTCCTGCACGCCTCCCCCCGCACGACCACTGCTTGAACTGAACATTTGCAGCAGGGCCGCAACAACAGCATCCGAGATCTTCGGAGCATCCTCCAGGGTCATCTTGCGCAGCACGCTCTGCAGTGTGGCACACAGCAGTGACTGCAGGTCGTTGTACTGAGCCCGGTCGGAGCTGCTCTGGATGTGGCCCTCTAGGGCAAGCACATGCTGCAGCCGCTCCAAGATGATCATTGTTGTACGCTGCACCCACACATAGCAGTCACGTGGAGAGTTCTTCACGAGCTCCATAAGGGCCTCGTACGCCGCACTTCGGAGATTCGCCTGGCCCCCGTCAGCCCTACAAGATGGCACCGCATTTATAGATGACTGTCTCGATGCCTCCCAGCTGCTTTTTCACATATAGCAACTAAATAAAGTCCCCTCTCTCATTCCTTTAACGAATTTACCATGGAAAAATACCTAGACACCCTTCTCGCTTCCTTTTGCAACCTCAGTAGTGCAAAGATAAAGCAGTGAAAGAACCATACACACGAGCTTGAGCACGTCGGCACACAAGAGCACACAGCTGTAGCGCAAAGTACATACCTTTCTGTTGTTTCCAAAAGCTTTGACACAATAACTTCAAAGTATTCTGACAGGCAGTAAGTTTCTGGCTCTGATCCATCACCAGGAGTGTCAGCAGCTTCAAATGCTGCCTCAGCCAAGCTGTTGAAAGCCTGCAATAAAATATTTCACCTCTTATTGTCAATCACAGTGGCACTCATTGTTGGGACACTAGCCAGTGCTAATAGTTAAACCTAGTTGTAACGAAATTGATACATTCCTGGAATAATTCATTATAAAGAGGATTTCATTATATGCAGGTTCGGCCCAAAAATTAGAAAATTCAACATGCAAATAAACAAAAGGGGGACTGAAGGCATAGCTAACCAAGAACACTTATTTTACAGTAAAAAAACTGCGTTATTATTGCAATAGAAATTGTATGGACACTCTCGGCAGGTTTTTGTCGTTGCCGCAGTGTTCTGCAACATGCCCCCCAGGCATCGTAATTTTCAAGAGCCGGTAAAAGCGCGCGAGCGCTGCTGAAGTAGAGATCGTAAGAGTCTGCACATCCCATATCGTCTGGAAACTGCATAAGATAACATTTCCCGCGTGTTAGAACTGTCGTCGTATGCTCAAACAGAAAGTAAACCACCTGTCTTGAACGAGCACTTTTCCCTGGAGCGGCCATATTTGCTCACACCAGCATTTTGTACAAGTTCCGCGATATCGAATCCAAAAGAATGGGCCGCCAGCCTTGCTTTTTATAACATGGAAATATTGGGAACAGAAATATTGGGACACTCCCACCTGTGTACGTGCGATGAAACGTGCACAAGAAGAGCGCACTACGCCATTTGCAGTCACTGTGAACAAGGCTCCCGTGTGGGGAGCCGAAACGTCTTTTTAACTTTTGTGTATTTCACCTTGGTCGGCGTTTTTGATATTTTGCACTATGTTTGTCCCCGACCACATGAGATTCCGTCGGACTCTTGACTATAACATAATATTTTGCTATCGCATTCCTAGCATTGCATTTAACACGCTGTCATGTTGCCAGAACTAATCGGCTAATCACGAAAGCTACCAGACTGCAAACTCCCGGCGCAAGACGGAATCGCGTTACAAGCCGACCTCCGAAGATCTGTCGTCACAATGGTCACAGAGAGTTTCCATCAGCGCCTAGTCGGACATCCCCGCGATGGTGTGGACACGGTTGTCCGAAATTAAGAAAAGTCAGAGTCACGCACGAAAAAAACGTACACAAGACGAGAACGAACTAGCAATGTTTATCGCTCGATACTTAACACGCTGTTTAAACAAAAACGGGGCATGAAACGTAATCACAGGTGCAGATATGAGTGCAAACTAACAAGTGCCCCAGTTAATGTTGTTACTGCGCTGTGTTTGAAAAGTGCACTCTCTTCACAAATGGCACCTGCCCAGCGAGCGAAGAGATCTTTGTGCACATGGCAACAAAACGCAATCGTTCGGGTCAAAGTTAAAGAGACGCAATTTTCCCCACCGAAGGATAAGCGCACGCACGCACAAGCATCTGCCCCCCCTCTTCCCCCTCCCGAACTCGCGGGCAAAGAACGCGTTGGAGATAAACGCGCGTCGGCACATCGTGACAAGCTGCAGGACGCCGGCGCAGGCGACTTTTGTTTTCTTTCTTGAGTTTATATATATATATATATACGGCGATTGGTGGCAAAGACAAAAAAAAGTAATTCAGCTGATACTTCATATAATTGCTATCGCCATAAGAAAAAAAAAGCTGAACATCGTCGGGGCCACACTATGCATGCGCAGTGAAACTTCACGCGCACCCGCGTCAAAAACGAAGAGTGAAAGACATGGACACAGACACGGATACCGCAAAAAACTATATTCGTTAAAGTGCCCTCCACAAGCAACGCAGCCCCAGCATATGTGACGCTAACATAAAGTGTGGCACTGCCAACTAAAAAGTAGTTGTTTTTTAAATTTTATTTTGGTTAAGAGTTGGGGGGGGGGGGGGGGGGCGAGAACAGCCGATATGCCGGCTCGTGAGGTGCAGGCCCGTCTGGCGCACAATAACGAGCGCTCCCTCTCGCCTGGTGCGTCGTGCGCGTCGCACCCACTTTGTCGACGGCGGGGCAGCCGCAGAAGATGCACGCTCGTACCAAAATGCAAAAACGCGGAGCGAAATGCCTAGATTGTCCGTGGGAAAAATTCGTTATATCAAGGTTGTCTACCGCTATACTTTGTTACATAGAGGTTGTAAATACATGCGCTTCTATGGAGTGATGGCGGGGAATTTAAAAACTTCGTTATATCGAGGAATTCGTTAAATGGAGGTTTGTTATAAGCAGGTTTAACTGTAAACAACTAATGAAGTAGAATAGTTCAGGACATACTGAAATGGAGCAGTAGAATGTAATAATGACAGAAGCAATAAACCTGACCTATACTGAACCTCCTGCAGTGCATTGCTTGCTTGGAGCCAGTGATATTGTGTCGCATGCAGTATTAAGGGGAGGTGTGGCAACCAAAACTACATCTGTTATTTATTGGAATAAATTGATGAAACTTGGCATGCTGATGTGATGATTTATTATCTTTACATTCATCAGATCTTTACATTCATCCCCAAATTAATTAGTTCGGTAGACATAGCTTTTGTAGCCTATTTACTTAAGCATATTCAGCAAGACCCACTGTGTATCTTAATTTTATTGATTTATTTTTAAGGTCTAAACTAGCACCATAAAATTTCTGAACTTTCCTAATCATATTTTCTTATGAACATCTTTTGCAAAAATACAATTATAATTTTTTTATAATGTGCAAAGAAATTAATGTCATGTAGCTCACCAATGTTTCAGTATGTAGGGGCAAAAACAGAATAACTCACAATTCATTACTTATAAAGTAGCACAGTGAGGCTGACCACGATCAGTCCCTCCTCCCTGCCTCTCACCAACATGCAAAAAAAATTGTAACCCCCCCCCCCTCCCCCCCGCGCCCATCCTGGTGGATCCTGGCTCCAGCTGTGGCGGTCGCATTTCAGTGAGGGCAAAATAGTGAAGGTCCTTATAGTACTGTGCTTCGCCAGTGCAAACTAAAAAACACCAGGTGGTCGAAATTTCTGCAGGCCTTCCTTACAGTGTCCTTCGTAATCATATCACGGTTTTGAGACATAAAACCACAGATATGTTCACTTATGATACATATCCCCCCCAGCTGTAATGCCGCTAATGGTGATGCAGGCACGAAATTAAAAAAAGTAAATAAATATTGTGATTATTATCCTTCCCCCCTCTCAAAGAAAAAGTCTCGTGGAAGCCCACAATCCCAAGCCACACTTTTTCTCGTCCTCAATTAATGGCAGACAAATCGTTAGCATCTCCAATTTGGTTTAGTTCTTTTTGTCCGTTTGGAACACCTACATGGGTTTGCACAGGGACTTTGTACACCTCATTTCTAGTACTTTTTCTTTTTGTATTCATGTGCAACTGCAACGCAGCCCGCTACAGGCATGTCCGTAGAAAGGAGAGTACTATGAGAAACATTAAAACTAGTGAGCCAGGGATGGGCTTATACACCCTGCAGCATTTGATAGCAAAAGACGAAGAATGAACACCTGCAGAAATGAAGACCCCTTTTGGGTGACTACTGAAACCAGCAGAAAAAAGGACGCTTTCCATAAGCAACACTGCACGTCGCAGCGCTGCGGGCATTACGGGACGCTCGGTAGCAGTAAAATGACCAAAATACTAGGCTTGTAGCACTTTGAGAGGATAGGTACTTTCAAATGTACGAACTTTAGTTTGCTGCAACAAGTGCCTTAATGCGAATAACTTATTATTAACCTCGATAAAAGGCAAACAACGCGCTTCTGCATTGAAGATTTTTCTCGACTTCCCCAAAAAAGACAGCTTGAGCGTCTATTAACCGTGAAAGCAGACTTGAGAGCATTTTCAAGTCCGCATCCAGCTTTGGGCTGACTTGCTCAAGTGAAGTTGAAGCAAGAGCCAAGTAGCATCTTTGCATTCGAGGTTTAGTATAAAAAAACGCTCCTTGACTTGAACCTGACTTGCCACTACCTTCAATGCAGCACTAATGTGTTTCGAACGCGCTGTCTTTATGATAAATAGCATTTATGATAAATACAGGGATTAGTATGGAAGATGAGTGGGTTGAGAGATACGGGCATTGGCAGGCATTTAGACATATCAGTTTCCAGTGAAATTGAACTTCATTTCCTCTACTTCAGAGTGCCGCCTCTAGACGCAGCAGTTTGTGAAAAACACATTTAATCTATTGTTTCCCACTAGTTCCTCTTGAAGTGAAGGCTAAGTCTGCCGATTTGAGCACCCGATTTTCCAGTTGAACCGAAAATCTCGATGGCAAAAAATTTTGTTCAGTATCCCTTCGATATAGCAGATCCACCATATGTATAGTGCCTGCGATCGCTTAGCAACACCTACCCAGCAGACGTTGGCAGCAACTCGAGGTTCTGCACCCAGTCCTTTCACCAATGCCTGGAGCAAAGGACCCAGGTAGTTCTCTGCAACTACTGCCTCAGGGATGATCTCACAAACACGTCCAATAGTCCAGGCCACTGTGTCACGCACCACCACACTTTGGTCGCACATAAGCTCAATCAGTGTGGGCATTGCCTGCTCCACGAGAGGCTTCAAGATGGCCGGGTCAGGTCCTTCCAGCAAGCAGCCTATGCACAAACAGAAGGAGCACCATGCATTAGACTTCATGGCGCACATGATATGAACACAACAACAGAACAGTTCGGCAACAGTATTCTGTAAGCAGCGATGGCAGCGATGGTAGGCAGCGATGGCGTAGTGGTTAGAGCATCCGCCTCGCATGCAAAAGGTCCGTGGTTCAAATCCCGGTGCCGTGCAGTTCCCAACCGGATGAAAAAAAAAAAAATCCGCGTGGCGATGGAACTGCATTACAAGGCGTGGGGTGCGGCCTCACCGGTAACCACCGCCGGGAACGCACTCCCGCACCAGAGAAGGATTGGCCACCCTGATGCAGTATCTCGTCATTACCCCCCACATGCATACGTCAATTAACTCACGGCCCTCAGTCCCCAGCGGCTGCGAAGCAAGTGACCATGGCGGCGGTCAGATCTGCAACGCAGCAGAGGGTGCTAAGAATCTCTGGATCCGGACAGGCCGCTATTGGAACCTGAACTTGACAACGTTTAACGCTAGAACCTTATCTAGTGAGGGAAGTCTAGCTGTACTATTCGAGGAGCTAGAGGGTGTTAAATGGGATATAATAGGGCTCAGTGAGGTTAGGAGGACAGATGAGGCCTATACGGTGCAACAGAATGGGCACGTCCTTTGCTATCGGGGTTTGGCTGACAGAAGAGAACTGAGAGTGGGGTTCCTAATTCACAGAAACATAGCTGGCAACATAGAGGAATATTATAGCATTAATGAAAGGGTGGTAGGTATCGTAATTAAGCTGAATAAGAGATACAAGATGAAGGTGGTACAGGCTTACGCGCCTACATCCAGCCATAATGAAAATTCAGTTGAAAGCTTCTATGAAGACGTGGAATCGGCAATGAGTAAGGTAAAAACAAAGTATCCAATACTGATGGGAGACTTTAATGCAAAGGTAGGGAAGAAGCAGGCTGGAGACCAGGCAGTAGGAGATTATGGCATCGGTACTAGAAACGCCAGAGGAGAGCTACTAGTAGAATTCGCAGAACGCAATAATTTACGGATTTTGAATACCTTCTACCGAAAATGAGGAAATCGCAAGTGGACATGGAGGAGCTCTAATGGAAAAATAAGAACGAAATGGACTTTATAATGAGTGCACACCCAGGCATCGTGCAGGATGTGGAAGTGGTTGGCAAGGTACGATGCAGTGACCATAGAATGGTACGTACGGTCTCGAGTTCGCCTAGACTTGAGAAAGGAACGGCAGAAACTGATACGCAAGAAGCCAATGAATGAGCTAGCACTGAGAGGGAAAGCACAGGAATTCAGAGTCTCGCTTCAGAACAGGTACTCGGCTCTTAGTGAGGAAACCAACCTTAGCGTAGATACTATGACTGATAATTTGACGAGTATCATTACGGAGTGTGCAGTGCAAGTTGGAGGCAGGGTAGTTAGACAGGACACTGGCAAGCTTTCCCAGGAAACGAAGAATCTCATTAAGAAGCGTCAAATCATGAAAGTCTCAAATACAACAAACAAAATAAACTAGCAGAGCTTTCGAAGTTGATTAATAGGCGTAAGGTACCCCGACGTAAGAACATGGAGAGAATTGAACACACTCTGGAAAACGAAGGGAGCGTCAAAGCAGTGAAAAGGAAACATTGGGATAGGCAAAAATCGGATGAATGCACTAAGGGACAAAGAAGACAATATAACTACCAATATTGCCACGTTCCATTTCCCAAGTTTCTGTTATCGTCCAAATACACTACACGATTCTCAGCGCAAACCGCGCCTGCAGCTTTCGAGAAGGTTCCGGAACAGTAGTAGATCATTTCGATAAGATCACGCCCACTGTGCGAACAGTACAGATTGTTCTGGAACCTACGCCACCGCCAGCGATAATGCTAGAACATTCGACGGCAAGAGTATAAATTCCGACGCGCTTCGCCGCTTGTCAGTTGTTGATCGAAGGCCGACGCTCCGTTCGCCGCTATCAGTCCGAGACTGCAATCTGTGCGAGACTGCTGCTGTAATTGGACTTTCGGTTCACTGGGCACAGGTTCGCCCAAATAAACAGTTCAATCCCAACACGAAGTCTCCTGTCTTCGGCCACGTCACAACCCCGTGACATCTGGTGGAGGTGCTGCTTCGTTCATGTACCGGACGCCCCCGTCAAGCCATGAACCCAGCCCACGTCGCGGAGAAGACACCGACGCCAACCAGGAGCAGCGAACAAGCCGCCGACAGCAAGGGCTACCACCGGAGTACGGGCTTCTACAAGACAAGGCGCGGAAGACCAAGGCCATGATCGCAACTGCAGCGACAATGACAACCGCAGCGTCCCAGCCCACGATGGTCATGCATCAACCCAGGGAACCACCAATTTTCCATGGGTCATCGTTCGAAGACCCGGAGTCCTAGCTAGAAACATACGACCGCGTGGCCGCCCTCAACCACTGGGACCATGACGAAAAGCCGCGTCGTGTGTTTTTCTATTTGGAAGACACCGCAAGGACCTGGCTCGAAAATCGCGAGTCCACGCTCCGAACGTGGGATGTTTTCTGCGGCGCATTCCTGCAAACGTTCACGAGCGTCGCTCGCAAAGAGAGGGCCGCTGCTTTATTAGATACCCGGGTTCAGCTACCAAATGAAAATGTCGCCATTTTCACAGAAGAAATGACCCGACTATTCCGTCACGCTGACCCAGACATGCCTGAGGAGAAAAAAGTTCGTTTCCTCATGCAAGGGGTCAAACAGGAGCTCTTCGCGGGACTGATGAGAAACCCACCGAAAACCGTCCAAGAATTTGTAGCCGAAGCGACCACTATCGAAAAGACCCTGGACATGCGCACCAGACAGTATAATCGTCGCCTGACTGCAGACTGTGCTGCTGCTCAAGCCAGTAACTCCGAAGACCTGCGTGAAACGATCCGAGCGATCGTGCGGGAAGAGCTGCGCAAGCTGTTGCCTTCGGCGCAGCCTCAAGTGGATTCAATCGCCGACATTGTGCGAGAAGAAGTTCGGCAATCGCTTCTAATTCCCCACGCACCGCTGCCCGAGCCGGAAGCTATGAGCTACGCCGCTGCACTGCGCCACAACGCTCCTCCCCGTCCACGCCAGAACGCCGCCCCATCGCACTTCCGTCGACAGACGCCACCGCCGCCACCACCCCCACCACCCCCACCGACGTCATACCGTTCGCCAGCGGCCCAGCGCAGTGCACCGAGGAAGACTGACGTCTGGCGCACCCTTGACCATCGCCAGCTCTGCTACCACTGCGCCGAGGCCGGACACACATACCGCCGTTGCCAGTACCGACAGATGGGACTGCGTGGCTTCGCCGTCAATGCACCGCGTCCACAGCCAGGAGGACGACCACGTGACATCGCCGACTACCTGACAGGAACTCGGTGGACACCACGAACCCCTTCGCGTTCGCCGTCGCCCAGCCGCCGCGCGTCACCGCACCACCGGCAGTACTCTGGGCCAACACGGGGCCGGTCTCCTAGCCCGTATCCGGGAAACTAAGGGCAGCAACCGGTGGAGGTGCGGTTGCTGTGCGACGAACTACCGAAGATCCTTCGACGACGACGACGCCGCGACGGAGCTTTCCGAACACAACGCCAACCAGGCAAAGCCCTGACGGCGAAAGCTCACTTACCGAAGGTGGCCTGATGACGCAACATGGAAGCAGCGGAACAAGCCGACGCAGCCGTGACCCGACGCCACGCCCTAACTGTAATGCGAGACGGCGAACTAGCGACCTCGACGTTCTTATCGACGGCCACAGTGTGACCGCTCTCGTCGATACTGGAGCCAACTATTCTGTTATCAGTGGGTCGTTCAGCCGCGAAGTTAAAGAAAGTTAGGACAGCTTGGAAAGGCCCTGAAATCCACACAGCCGGAGGTCATCTCGTAACGCCTGCAGGAATCTACACAGCGAGAGTCACCATTAACGGTCGTATTTATCCTACAGACTTCGTAGTCCTACAGCGTTGCTCGAGAGATGTCATCCTTGGCATGGACTTCTTATGCCTCCATGGTGCTGTCATCAACCTAAAAACAAAGTCGATAACGTTATCCACAAAAGAAGCACTACCGCCGCGCACGCCGTCAGGACACCATGCCTTGAATGTGCTGGAAGAACAAGTCACCATTCCACCTCGCTCAAGCGTCATTATTTCAGTCGGCGCTCCTAAATCACCTGATTTGGAAGGCGTCGTTGAAGGCAGTCAGCATCTGTTGGTCACCCGAAATATTTGCGTCGCAAGAGGAATTGCAGAGCTGCGGGGAGGCAAAGCAACAGTTATGCTCACGAATTTCAGCAATGAGTACAAACACGTGAACAAAGGAACAACGGTCGCATACATCGAAGAAATTGTCGAAGCCACCAGTGCTTTCGCCCTCGCCGATTCTGCGGAACCTGCTCAGAGGAACCAAGCCCCTCCCGTAGCTTTCGACGTCAATCCCAGACTTCCGAACGATAAGCAAGAAGAGCTCAACGCCCTGCTCCTGCAATACGAAGATTGCTTTTCGTCGTCATCGAAAATTCGGCAGACCCCAATCACGAAAAATCGCATCATAACCGAAGAAAATGCCAGACCACTCCGTCAGAGTCCATACAGGGTTTCGACGCGAGAACGTGAGGCCATGAAAGACAAGTTGATGAAATGCTGCGGGATGACATTATCCAGCCGTCCAAGAGTCCATGGGCATCCCCCGTGGTGTTAGTGAAGAAAAAGGATGGGACCCTACGTTTCTGCGTCGATTATCGCCGCCTGAACAAAATCACAAGAAAGGACGTGTATTCTCTCCCACGAATAGACGACGCACTTGATCTGCTCCATAACGCCAAGTACTTTTCGTCAATGGACCTCAAGACTGGCTATTGGCAAATCGAAGTCGACGAAAGAGACCGAGAGAAGACGGCGTTTATAACACCGGACGGCCTCTTCGAGTTTAAAGTGATGCCCTTCGGCCTTTGCTCAGCGCCTGCAACTTTTCAACGCGTTATGGATACAGTACTGGCAGG